ATTGACACTTATGGATTGTTTTGTTAGATATACTTACTGGCCTGAAGTCTTGCTGAAACTGATGAAACTTAAGTTGAGTCATGAGTAACTTGTCCACCAATTTCAGTGGTACTTAAGCATAAGTACTTCTTTATAGATCATGACTGATGCATATATTTAAAGACTGTAACACAGTAGTGAACTGCTAGAAAAGTAGAAGTTAAACGAGATGCATTTTCTCTTTAATTTTTTCCCACGCACATAGATGCGAGGGATTGCATGCACTGTGCTTTTCCTGACAGAACTCAGAAGGGTGGTCCATGTAAATATTTATTTTAGCAGCTCTTCAGCAGATGTGAATGAGATCAACAGTTTAATGTCTTGAGACATACTTGTCTTGTACTTCTTTGCTGGATGGGTCTATTGAATGTTTTATTTGTCATGCTGTCTTTCCTGAGATCTTTGACTTGCAGCCTCAGCGCCTAGGGGAGGGCAGCGAAGGCGAGGCCCCCTTTACAGACAACCCACCAATAACACAGTCACTCACAATGTTTTGAAATAAAATGGGCACAACTTTTATTGGTTAAAGCTGGAAGAAGTCTTGGCACAGCATGGGTGCAACAGAACCTGGCATCGACTGACCCACCTGCCAGTTGATCTGATCTTAAAGTTTTATTTGTTATGTATTTTATGGTTTTGTAAAAATTGTAATGGCCAAAGGCTAAATACAATACATTTTACTACTACTACTACTACTACTACTACTACTACTACTACTATGCATACCATCCCACCCCAACCCACCTGCTGGGGTGGGGAGAACCATGGGATGGCAAGATGTTGGATTCCACAAGGACGATGGACACTAAGTGGTCTCCCCTTTGCCACCTGGGTGTAAGGGTAACCCATTAGCAGCCCCTGAGCTGGGCATGCCCCTTGAAAGCCCTCAACCCAAGATCCTTTAGGGGGATCCCCATATGCCAGGAAAATGGGCCCACAGGCTGGTTTCCTAAAATGGATCTGGCCCCATGCTGATACCACCACAAGAGCCAGGCATCCCCTCCCGCCTGGCTCCCACCAGTACTCCTACAGCTGTAGCCAAGTCTGCAGACCATACTGAACCCTGTGTAGCCAGATGACCTTTCCTAGCCTGTTGGTCATCTTCTGCCTTGCCATATCAATGCTGTCTGGGCAGTTGGCTCCACGCCAAGAGTATCACGCCAGTCAGTCCAACTAGAAGAAGGTCATGGTTGGGAGCTCTCCTCGCAAAGTCCTCAAATCCACCTCTGCCTGGTGTGCCAAACCACTGCTCATGTGGTCCCCCAGGTCCCATGCCACAGTCATTTCAACCTTGAATTATATATCTCTCCTAAGAACAGAGGCTGTTAAAATTATAAAATATAAATTTGACCATCAGTTCATATTTCATATTTGTTATACTTGAACCAAAGCAATATCATTTCAAAACAAGGGCTATGTGCAGTAAAGATGTAATTTCATGGTAATTTATATATTGGTTATAAAAATTCTGCTTAAGAACTGTGATATTTGTAAAGAGTATTTTATTGCTCACTTAAAATTATTATGAATAAATGCACTGTATAGCCTAATAAACATTAACATTTACAAAAATAGTTTTTCTGCTCTCAGTCGAATTATCATACTAAATTATGGTGGAAAAAATGTTTTCAGATGGCTCCAATGCCTTGAAGCCATGTTTCTGATTAAATTTGGAAAATTACTTTCCCCACCCTTGCATAGGCACCGAAAGATACAGATGTTAAATCCTCTTTACTATAGTTTATCTCTTTCTGTATGTTAATAATTAGCCATGCCTGAAAGTTTTAGGATTTAAGTCTTGATGGGGGCCTTCCTGTAGCTGCACTCAGTTACAGAATTTGTGGATCAAATTTTAAATCCTTTAAAAAAAAACCTTTTCATTTTTAAGTGTGTGTACGTATGCACATGCTTAGTGTTACTACTTGAGATTTCTTGTGCAAGACCAGACTTTAATAAAACTTGAAATTATGATGGTTTGATGGATTTAATTGGTATGGATTGTTATTTAACACATAGAAGGTTCTAACATGCTGTGGTGTGTTTCCAGGAGCTATGTCAATGCCGGCCAGGTGAAGGAAACTGTTCATGTTGTAAGGAGTGTATGCTTTGTCTAGGCGCACTTTGGGATGAATGCTGTGACTGTGTGGGTAAGTTCATTCTTCATCACTTAACACTCTCTTCTTATAGTTGCTTCAAACAGCTTCTGTGGGAATCTTGAATTTCTTAAATTCATGCTAGTACCATTATTGTTTAGATGTGTCCCCCCTATATTTCGATGTCCTTGAAGTAAAACTGGGTTAATATCATGGCAGTCAAAATGTAAACGTAATGTGTTAGGTTACTTCAATATTTTATTTAAGCCAAGTTTTCATACTACAGGTGCCTCATTCCATAAATCATTTTTATTTACCCAGCCATTTAAACAAGCTATGTTGGGTGGGGGTTCTTTTCCTTTTAGATACTAACTATATAAGTTTTTATACTATTCTACTTTTTAGTTGTAGGTTTTGGCATGCTGCTATTGTTATTGTTGTTCAGTTGCATAGTTGAGTCTTCACAACCCCATGGACCACATCACGCCAGACCCTCCTGTCTTCCACCATCCTCTGGAGCTTGCTCAATTTCATGTTCGTTGAATCAGTAACACTGTCTAACCATCTCATCCTTTGCCGTCCCCGTCTTCTGTTACGTTCAATCTTTCCCAGCATCAGAGTCTTCTCCAGTGAGTGCTCCCTTCTCATTTGGTGGCCAAAGTATTTGAGCTTCAGCTTCAGTATCCTTCCAGGGAACAGTCAGGTTTGATTTCCTTTAGGATTGACTGATTTGATCTCCTTGCAGTCCAAGGGACTCTCAAGAGTCTTCTCCAGCACCATAATTCAAAAGCATCTATTCTTCAGCATTCCTTATGGTCCAACTCTTGCAGCCATACATTACTACTGGGAACACCATCACTTTGACTATGCAGACTTTTGTTGGCAGTGTAATGTCTCTACTTTTTATTATGCTGTCTAGGTTTGCCACAGCTTCCTCCCAAGGAGCAGGTGTGCTTTAATTTCATGGCTGCAGTCACTGTCTGCAATGATCTTTGATAATAATTGCAATATTTTTATATTTATTGATTAGTCACACTGGGAGTCTATAGTTGAGGTACATTATGCACATTTCCTTAACAAAAAAAAGGACTACAAGAATTTTGGTAGGTAGCGTTAAAAAAGCACAGGCTGAAAGAGTTCTAACTCCCTGGTAATCCCTGAGTTTGTCTCTGGATAGCATGTGAGAGTGTATGGCACTTCCTTCACTCAACTGCCATCTGTTTCCCTGCCTTTTTGAATTCCCACAAACTACACTGCCACCAGGATCGCACTGGATCCACATTCACTTAAATCCCAGTTTGGTCACTAAGACCAACTAGCATGAGCATTACCCCTGAAACTATTAAATTTCAGCAGAACCATTGAGGGCACAGAAGAACTGTTGAGGACATGGTTTTTATAAAATAAAATGAATAAGAACAAACTTTGTTTTAAGAAACATATAGGGTACAAACTACACAATAAATGGAACCTTTCCTAATCCTTTCTTCTCCTAACTACCTCACTTTATAAAAATCTCACCTACCTAGAAAAGCCTACACTGCCCTTCTTTCTTCATTCCCCCCCCCCCCCAACACAATTTCCCTAATCACAACATTTCACTCCTGGCTGCCTCTCGTTGGTTCTTCCTTTCTCCCCAAGTCATTTAGCTACACACACACACACACACACACACACACTTCTTCCTACTAGCCAACATTCTTACTTTTAAACTCCCTGTCAAGAACTATGCACACAATTAAAATATTTTGTGGCATTATCTACCAATCTTATATGCATTATATCCTGTTTTTTAGAAATAATTAGGGTGGGTAGGTAACCTTTTTGGTGCTGGGGGGGGATCATCTATCTGTGAAGATGCTGGTATGCTGGCAAACAAAAAATGCAAGGGAGGGAGACCAGGGTTGCACTTGGCCAGATGCACTGGAAGCAAGCCAAACCCCAGAGATGCTACCTAAGGGACTGCCCTCAGGCTTGGCTGGCAGCTGCAAGGGTCTGGGAAGCAATGGACATAAGCCATGCCCATTCCCTTCTCCCACAGCACCTCCCAGTATATGCCTCAGGGGCTTGCCTCAGTTGCTTGGATAAAGAGTTTGACATGTTTGACATGAGCTGGCAGGTTGCCTGCCCATGAAGTGGGCACTTCACTGTTCAGAATAAGGGACAAACTATATATGCTACATTGGAGATTTGTGATTGGATCCTGTAAGTGGTTAATTTAGCATTTAAAAGCAGCTATGGTGGGCCATCAGTATGGATTGGGCCTGCGATGGTGGCAAAGGATGGTATTACCTCTTCCCTTGCTCCCTGCACCGTTTCCCCAACTGAAGCCAGCCCCTTTGACCTGCTTTTTACCTTTTCCCTGTCTTTTTTTCTTATGTACACTAAAAGCAAGTCAAAGGGGCTGGTTTTGATTGAGGAAAGACCTGGTGGGGGCATTAAACCTCACCTGCGTATTAGGGAGGTGCATCTTAAAATAAAAATCAGTATTTTTCAGATCTGGATATCAGTATTCCCAGTTATCCAGGTTCCAAATACTAATTTGGTATTTAGATCTGGATTTCCCCCCCTAATTTGGGATTCCAATATTATTCAGATCCATTATTCCCTACAGAGAATCTTTCCAAAGGGCTGGAAGGCCTGGTTGTTGGTTGTTGTTTTTTAGCAAATGGCACCAGAATTGCTACACAGCTGCTGGTGCCTGTCCACTAGATAACCCCCATGTTTCAAGTGAATTGGACCAAGAGGTCCAATTTTATCGGCCCCTGAACAAGGTGCCTCCAGCTATTCCCCATTGTTTCCTATGGGGGGGGGGATCCATGCTTTCTCCAGGGCAAAGAATAGCCAAAGACAGCAAGCAAAGCAACCACCACCCAAAAGCCCCTCAAAGCAGACAGAACCAAGGACCAATGCAGGATCAGGGAATTCCAGCAGAAGAGCAGGAAATCATGTGGCAAGCCTAACACAACAAATGTACAACCCAAGAATCCACACTAATGTCAAAGCAGAGAATCCTCCAAGTCAAACTGAATGCTGTTGCAAGAAAGCAGATTCAGTATGCAAAAAGCAATACTATCTCACACAATGGTTGACTTGCAAATATTTTCAGTTTCACAGGGTTATCGTGAGTTCTAATATTATGGGAGGGGTCCACTTTTTCAGTACATGCATAGTTTTGCAGATTTCTATCGTGTTGCCCCTCAGGCAACTTTTTTCTAAGCTAAAAAGTCCAAGATACTTCAAGCTTTGCCTCAAAGAGCGGGTACTTGAACTCTGTGATTATTTTTGTTTCCTTTTTCCAAGTTTTCCCAGTTCCTCAATGCCCCCATTGAGATGTTGCAATCAGAACTGCATACATTATGCAAAATGTGGCCACATCAAGAGCTTGTATAAGGGCATGACTGTACTGGCAGTTTTATTCTTAATCCCTTTCCTGATGATCCCATGACTGTTAATTTCACTCCAATCTTTGGTGTGACACCTTGTCAAATGTTCTTTGGAACTCCCAAATATACATTGTCTAGTAGTTCATCCTGTCTGCATGCCTGTTGACACTCTTGAAGGGTACTAAAGAAGTTGGACAAAAGAGAGGAGGGGCAATTTCACTCCCTTCTCAGTGCAGCCTCCAACCTGAGCAACTGCCCACATAGGTCCTGTGATCCCAGGAATAATCATTCACGAGTTCAAAAGGGACTGTTGGAGGCGGGCCTGGGAAATGTACCTTGTTCATATCATATGGGCCATAATAATGGTAATAAAGCTGTAGGTACTGTACAAAAATAAAATAATGAAGGGTCAGTTGAGAAAAGCCAAAGTGAATTAATATGGTTAAAGAGACACTTGAATGCAAGAACAAAAGAAGGGAGCAGAAGAGCATTCCAGTGTAAGAGGTTTTAAGGGAAAAGAGACATAGGTGAGGAATAAATTTAACTGGAAGATTGGTTTGGGAGGATTACACCAAGAAATTAGAGACTAGAAGAAGGAACAAGACCAGGAAGGCATTTGAAAGCAAGCAGAGAAAGTTTAAAGTGAAGATAAGAAGAGAGAGGAAGCTGATGAAGGATGCATTATGGAAGAGTAATATTATTTGGGTAAAAATTATCAAACAGTAGAACCAACAAAGGTTATGTTTAGAACAGAAGCATGTTACAGTCAATGCAGAAAATAATAAGAGAATGAATATAAATTTTAGTAGTGCCTGTAGAGGAGAACATAGTTAAGCCTCTTCTTTCAGTATTTAATCAGCTTTGTCTCCAGGCCAATTTACATGATGTTACTTGAGCAATGTGGTTGCTGTTCCTTCATGTATCATACGTTGCTCCAGTAATGTTGGTAAAGAGGAACCACATAATTGGGATGAATGACGCAATTCGTTCCCAAGTCAAGAATCAGAAGCATCCTGAAAGGGGTGGGGCAATGCTGAAATAGGAAGTAACCATGGTAGTCGTCCTACTCTTGCCCTTTACAGACATTATTGAAACGGTGTGTGATCTGGCCAAAGGAAAGAGACAACCACATTGTTCCAGGAATATATGAATCAAGCCTCTTGCTAGGGGAACTATTTAGAAAGGCTTCATTTCCCTATTGCTTTTCAAAGTTAAGTTTACTTGCGAAAGATGGGTTAGAAACCTTATAGTTTCAGCTTACGACAAGCCAAACATATTATATTTATTTGTATCTCTTCTGTATTTCAGTCTATGCTTCTGTTAGATTTGAAGTGAGTTCTGAATTAATAAAACTATTGATTATCCTCTGCCAAATAGTCTGTCTTCCCATCTGTCTCTTAGGATGCATCAGCTGGTCTGGAGCATCTTTACAATGTTTTAGTTTCAGGAAACTGTGCAGTCACTCATTTCTTCCATATTAAAAAAGTATCATTGCACAAACTCGTACTGTACATTACAAAAGGAGTAAAATAAACATGGTGGATAATAAGTTCATCAAAGCACACAATTGCATTTTGGGCCAATCATAATGGACAAAAGTAACTTGGAGGAAGGCAAGAGTTGGAACAAGAGCCAAGACAGCCATGGTTAACTCTGGATTTTTGTTTC